AGATAATTAGAAACAATGTCGAGTAATAAGTCATCCAGTTTTTTTAAGTCAGACACTATGACTAGATCTGTATTATTCCTTCAGATAATCTGTATACACAAATAATCAGGTGTGAGCTAAACCCCAAACAATATATATAAAGTTCTGAACCAGCCTTAACACATCTTTATTTTCGTACAGAAACAAACAGCAAATAGTGAATGCAAACACCTGTAGCTGGCACAAATAAGTTAGTTTTCCCAGAGGTATGCAAACATAGTTCTATACCATGCACTTTATAGGTAGTTCCTATCTAAATTCTTAACAGTTTGCTCCATTGTATTGCTACTCATGGTTCAGGCAAACAACCAACATTTTGAGTCTTCTTAAAATCAAGGAGGAGGCCCCTGTAGAATGTAAGTATGTCTTTGGCATAAGCCTAATTATTTATTAAATAGTTGCCTTGAACATATTAGAGGAAAAAGGAGAGTGGTATCACCTTCCTTGATTAAAGATCCCTTTTTTGCCTTTGTGAAATACCTCCGACAGAGGCTCATGGCTGTTCTTCAAGTTTTCTGATGAGAAAACTCACACTAATCCCCATTTCTATACTTGCAACCAATCTCCTGAGATACATGATTAACACCTTGCTCAGATCCTGCCACATCTGCCAGTTCTCACTGCTGTAGATCTCTCAGTACATATGAATGTTTCATTGTTCTCCTGCTCAGCCTTTACTTACCGACTGTACTACTCAGGCCTGTGACTGAGCACAGTAGCAAACATTTGCCAAAAAAAAGCGCATTTTGAGAACGTCTCCAAAGAAAATGGTCATGCTTCCACCCTTTTTCTCTCTCCTTCCTCTATCCATACAAACTGGGACAGTCTCCTGATTTTCGTTTTCTGCATGAATCAGTAAGAATGAGAGCACTACTGTGGGGAAGCTTGGACAAAGGAGCAAGGTTTGCATTCAGCTTTAAATAAAGGGTGATTGGGGAGTTTTCATTTTTCTTCTTGCAGTAATTTTTAAGTAGAGTCCTGGTGGTCACCAAGGTGTCAATACAGCAGGTACAGTAAGGGTCTGCTTCATTCATATTCCTATTTATGTTTAAAATGCATTTAAAAATCATTATCACTGTCAACAAATTCTTGTGATGAGAAATACATCAGCAAATCAGATACTGGTTAGATATAACACCTTATGTTAGGTGTTCTGGGAACAGTACAAAGTAAGGAAATTTGTTATCAGATATCCTTTGTCATGCAACATCCTGTTAATGGTACTGGGAGTTAGTCTGAGCAAACACTAGGAGTGTAATGAGGGTTATAACAGAGGGGCGCCTCACTGAAGAAGCTGTCTGCCACAAAGAAATCTGATTACATGCATTATCACTGACACTTCTGATTTACAAGTGAAGAGGGAAAATTGCAAAAGACAACATTCTGTTTTCCACACCTGAGTACCCAGAAAACTTGGAGTGTTATAATGTTCTTTGGTATGAATGCCTATTTCATAGTGCACACATCTTTTTTACTTCCTACCGTAATATCATTTACCATTGTAGCACCTCTTGTTTCCAGCCCTCCCCCTAGATTGCTAGTGCTGCACAGGAAAGCTTTCGAGTCACAGGCTTCCTTTTATTCAATGAGGTCATTGTATGTGTTATACCTCGTCTCAAGAGAAAAAAAACAACAAAACCAACACAGCCTGGTTTGCAACAGGATAATTCAAAGAATGTAATATGACCAGGACAAGTTTGCCATCCCAGTTAGCGTCGTGACACTGACTATCAATAATATCACTGTGATTTTCCCTGCTAAAGATATTTGGGGTTTAATTCCTGTTATTGTTTGGTGGTTTGGGCTTGGAGGTTGGGCTTTTTTGTTTCAGTTCTCTCAGTGGTGTGGAGGGGACAGCTCCCTGGCTAAGGTGAAGCACCCTCTTTTTAAAAACTATTAGTCTTGATTCATTAAAGATTAAGTGTATACACCAAAGTAAGTCCAAAGTTAAATGTAAAATCTCTTAGGTAGTTACAAATAAATCCATGCTTGTTTTGATTATTTTGCACATTTGCTTAAAATGAAAAGCTCTTGGGAAGATCACACGTTTGCAGAGCTGCCTGAGAGAAAATTTATAGCTTGTCAGCTGCATAAAGATATCATCTTACAAAGTATTTTTGGGTGACATGGTAACAACATTAAATAAGATGTTAAACAAAAATTCTGTGCAAGCTGTGCCTGTGTTCACTGTGATAATGCAAAAAAATTTATTTCTCTCTAAATGGAAGAAAGCAAGCACATCATTTGAACATCTGCACAGTGAAATATGCATCCTTTTTCATAATTGTGGAGCAAATCCTGCTCTGGCTGGCCCAGAGGGGGTAAGGAGAAGCATTGCATAGTGCATCCCTCACCACAGGGATCCTGCGGACAGGGTTGGATTCCAACAGGCACACCCCAGAGAGGCACTTCAAGATATGATAAAATACTATAACCCTGTCTGCCTGAATGCCTTATATATGGTATTAGGGATCCTAAAGACACCATGTTCTTATTGTAAACAGTATGCAATTGAAGGTTCATCGTATCAAGCAGGGGCTTGCCACAACCTCAGTCTTGCTGTTTCTTAATGTATTATTGTAATACAGTTTTCCTTAAAAAGTTATGAAGAGAGTGCTAATGGAAAAAAAAAAACAAACAACAAAACAATCCTAGTTTGTTCAGAAGAACATAAGCTCTAGAACATGGGATTTTCTTGCTGCAGAACTATTCTTGCATCCTACACATTTAGAAAGTTTGAAAGTGTGGTAGGGAAAGCTACTGCCACAGCAGTAGAATCAGTCATCTTTGTATGTATCCTAAACTGCGCAATTCAGGGACCAATTTCAAATAAATTGACTCCAGTACTTTCAAACAAACATGTCTGTTCCTTTAGTCATCACACTGCAGCCAATTTTCACAATCAATAAATTTCATCCATGAGCTTCCAATAAATGTTCCTTAGAAGTGCATTACAATGGGAAGCCCTGGAATGTGACCTATCCTAGTAACTAACCAAAGCAGAATCTTTGCAGCTGCACATCAAAGCAGCTGGAAAACTGCTTATAGCAAGGAATTAGAGTTCATTCAAAAAACTCCAACTAATTTACCCTATCAGTTTTTTTCCCAGTCATTGACTGTAGAATTCCTCTAGTGCTGCATCCAAAGTTTAGGCTTTGGTGTTGTTGTGAAGGTTTTTTTTGAGGCAGTGATAAATTTCAGTGTATTCCTGGAAAACAGGAAAGAATGTCTTGATTCCAACTACCAAATCTGCCATCCCCTTCTCATTTCCATTTTCATTTTGACAATTTAGTTCCCTTTTACAATCACTGCTCTCTCTTGAAAAGTTCTATTCCACTATTCAGCTTCAACTTTTCAAACTGTGTGTTGTTTTCCAGGGTTGCATATTTCATTTTTCTCCTTAGGAAGGACATGCATTAAGAAACTGCTTTAAGCCGTGGGTATTTTAACTTTTTCCTCCTCTTTTGACTGGTGTTTACTATAAGCTCCCAATTTTATTGTCACCTTCCTGATTGCTGTCTAATAATTAGATGGTGAAAAGCAAAAGGGTATCTGGAGTTTCTATCAAGGAGAAAGTACCCCTTGGGAATGAAAAACAACCCATGGCTTCTGTATCTGCTGAGTTCTAGTGGAAATGAATTTGATCTAGTTAGAGGATAGACACTGGGGCTTATTAGTGCCAGAAGCCTTCTGAAGTGTGTACATGCTCATCATAAATCCTCAAACTATTTTAAAATTCGTCTTTGTAGTTTTCTAGTTTGTAACTTTGTTATAACCCTTAATGAAACCACAGCAAAATCCTTCTACTATGCAAAACTTTTTCCAACAGCATTTTTTACAGCACAAACTGACAACCAGCACAAATAAGAATTGGGTGGTGGGGGAATACCTATTTAGGTCAGTAAGGCTAAATATGTGGTCTCAGCAGCCTAAGCTTGCATGTGTCAAACCTGTAACCATATTTAAAATACTCTCCCCCAAAGAGGATGGTGAAAACACCATATCCAAGAAAGGAGATACATCTCTATAGATTATCACTACAAATTAAGCAAAAAGGTTATAAATTGCGGTCTCTTGTGCTGATGGACTTAAAAAGCAAGCAAAAAGTGAATCTTGCCCCTAAAACTCTTGGTCCAAGCAAGACACTTTGCCAAGATATTTCCAGTTTATCATGCTTTTACTTCAAGTTTTGACTGCAGTTGTAATTATACTGAGATGTAAATATTGTGATCTGATTTAAGAATGTTAAAGCACTATAAAGCTAACTAATTTCAGCAAGTAGACTAAGAAATGCAGCCTTCTCTGCCTTTCAGATCAGTTGCTGAATGCATTAGCTTAGCCCAGGTGCTATAACTACATGCCATTACCCATTTGGACAAGTTACAAGGCTAACTGAAAAAAATCATTTACTGTTTTGAAGAGCCAACAGATGTTATTTTTGACACCAAAATGATTATATTAACTACAACATAAACTATGAATAATGTCTGCATTATACTGTGTTAGTAGTCTACCAAGATTCACCTAAAAAAAGCATAATCTGGGAATAACCTAATACGTCTTCTTTTGTACATATTGATACAAACAGTACCAGTCTTCCATATTCTAGGATACCCTGAATTCAGACAATGAACAAGAAAAGCAAGCTAGTACCTGAAATCCTGTGTGTCTCTTCCTAAGAGGAGATTCTCTGAGTCCTGGTAGAAGATAGACTAGTCACTGCACTTCCCCAGTTTGTCTTCATGTGTGCACACAAAGACACCTGGTGTATTTGATACGCTATATTTGCACTACCTACAAGAGGACTGGGAAAAATCCAGCACTTCTGGTGCAGCAGAATCCAGCAATTCTCCTGCACAACCAGAATATTAGAATGCTAACAGACAGCTTATCATTGTGATGTCACACGATACCTCCATGCAAGCCTGCTGGCTAACGTGTCCATGCACAGCCAACACTGAGCAGTTGTCTCAGTTTCTGTGATGGAAGACTGAATTTAATTCTTTTTTCTATTCAAACTGCAGCTGGCCACCTCTTCAGATTACATGATACTAAAGTATGTTAGGTAAAAATACAAATACATGTCAATTGGATTTTCAGAAATCTTTGATTGATCATAGGTCCCTTTACATAGCCTTAATAGTAATAAGTCCAATTTCACACCAGGCTAAGTTACACAGGTAATGTTTCTTTTATTAAATGCACCCATACCTGTAAATCCTTTTCATATGCCAGGGCTTCAGAATGCCAGTTGTTCAATAAACATAAAGTTAAAAAGTCTACTCCAGAGACTTTTGTATAAGATGGGAGAACATGAACAAAAGAGAGTGGCAAGACAATAAAAGCTAGCAATATAGGAAGTAGTTACAATATGTTGACATCCTGATATTTCTCCTCTGTTTTGTAGGCATGGCCATAAAAAAGGGGACAAAATGTTTACTAGAATTTGAATGAAAATAGCAAGAGTTTTGCTGTTGTGCAAAACCTTCTCCCAAAGCATGAGAAGTGGCATAGAAAAATGTGCGTATTTTTGTTGAGTAATTAACTAAAAAGTCATGGATCCTACTGTGTTTAGGTTATTGGAGGAATGGTTTAACCATTCAGTACGGTTCAGAGGTGACAGACATTAACAGAGAGGCTGTGAATGGATCTAGGAAGGGGGTTGTTGGTTTGCTTGATGCCGTATAGAAACCAGAAGCATATGACCCCAGAAAGGGATCATATTCTCAAAGTTACTGTCTAGAAGAAAAAATGTTTTAGCAACACAGACATCAACAGAGAGAAGTATCAGGATACATTCATTTACTATGAAGCACAGATACAGGATCTTAGAAACACAGCTTTTTTCTCTTTCTCTCCTTCCCCATCCTCCTCCACCCCCCCACTGATGTACTGTATTTGTTGAGAAGTAATGAATTATGGTACTAAGAATCAATCATCACAGTGTGGTTTTGGAAAGCATTTCGTATTCACCAGCTACCTGTTTAAACAGAAGAATCCCCTGGCATCACCACTGGCTTACACACAGATTCACTTACACACACTCCATTTTTAATGAGATGCCCACATCAGCCATATAACATTACTTACAGAGAAGCCTTACTGATTTTCTCCACTGTTTTTTAAGAAGACAAGGCTTCTGTTTCCCAAGGTTTCTGTAAATCCCACAGGTTGAGATAAGAACAGTCCAGTAACTAAAGTATAATACAAAATCACTACTGCTACCATCAATAATAATAATGATAAGGGAAATAGCAAGGGGAAAGAATATAAAACTAAAAGGGGAAAGGAAAAAAAAAACCACAGATGTTGCACAATACATTTGATCACCACCCGTAGACTGATACCCAGCCTGACGCGGGCCTTCCCAGTAACTCCCCCCAGTTTATATATTGGGCATGACATGCTGTGCTTTGGAATACCCCTTTAGCTAGTTTGGGCCAGGTGTCCTATCTCTGCTCCCTCCCGGCTTCTTGTGCCTCTCATCCCTGGCAGACCTTGAGACTGAAAAGTCCTTGATCAAACATTACTTAACAGCAATTAAAAACATTGGTGTATTATCAGCGTTGTTCCCAGACTAAAGTCGAAAACATAGCCTTGCACCAGTTACTAAGAAGGAGAAAAATAACTGCTACAGCTGAACCCAGGACAGGGTACTACAATTTCTCTTTTGTTATTTTATAACCCAAGGCACAGAAGAATATCTGCTGCCTTTCACTGTATTCCTCTGCTGGCTGTAAGGAGTAATTTTCATGCTTGGTGTAAGACCTTCATTAGGAGAGATCCATCTTAGAGACCTCTCTCTGGTTTGGAAAAAGGTTAGGTTATTTCTTTTGTTATATCTCTGGCCTCATGAAGAAACTGCATTTGGCCTTTCCTGTCTGCTGAAAGCCTACCTTGAGTTTCATCTTCCAAAGAAGCTGATCTCCATATGTTTATGCTTCTGAATAACAGTTACGTTATGAGCATACACAGGACTGATTCTGGTTTATAAGGGCCTTGAAATTCCCACAGTATTAGAATTGTGCGAATGGCTGAAACCATTTGTACCCCATTCGTGCTATGGGAACCATTAGACAGTAAAGTATCTTTCTGCAACAGATATGCAGTAAGATCTGGGGGCAAGAATGAATAGCTGAGCTGTAGCCAAATGGATCTCCCAGGCTAATTCATCCATTGCATTTAAAATTAGTATTCTGTCTCAGTGGTGATGGTGCAGTGGTAAAGAAAAAGCTGTATGGGTACATCCTATTTGCAGTTTCATGGATAGAATGGAAACTGCTGTCATAATTCTTATGTACATATCTGCCAACATATTCTGAGGTATAATTCCCCCAGGTTTCAATTGCTGGTAGAGAAGGGCTGAAAGTGTTAAGCTATTTTATAATTTACATCAGTAGTTTGGGGCATTAACCCTGTTTGATCTCCATCAGCACAGATGCAATTTGTCAGCCATCAGATCTTCAGAGAACTCCCCTGTTACTTTTTGATAGTCCTCAGGAAAAGTTCTTTTTTATTATATTCCTTTACTGAAAACATAAGTAAGAGAACTGCTTCAAACATTTTCCATTTCCAGGAGAATTTCTAACAAAGCCTGTGTTAGAATCTCCATGGCTTTAGCGATTTGAACTTAACAGGCAGACTAATTGCTCAAGTATTTGACTCTCTCAACTCAAAAGAGATTGCTACCTGTAATTTAATTTATGAACTGTGCACATACCCTTAATTCTCTACAGGAATTTTGTAAAGGATAAGAAGTGGAATAATATGTCTTAAAGCTCTCATAATTTTACTTCTCTTTTCCTCTACATATTTCTGAAAAGCCTGACTAGATAAAGGGGAAATGAGGAGAACTTGTGAAGAAACAGAAAGGACCATCAACATGTATGTAGAATCACAGAACGGTTAGTTTTGGAAAGGACCTTAAGATCATCAAGTTCCAACCCCCCTGCCATGGGCAGGGACACCTCACACTAAATCATCTCACGCAAGGCTTCGTCCAACCTGGCCTTGAACACTGCCAGGGATGGAGCATTCACAACTTCCCTGGGCAACCCATTCCAATGCCTCACCACCCTCACAGTAAAGAACTTCTTCCTGGTATCCAAAATCTGCATATCTGGATATGCACAGAAGGAAATTAAAATCATCATCAATATTCATTAACCTGAATGTAGAGATTTTTATTTTTTTTTTTACCCTACTAACCTTTATTTAGGGATTTTGCAGGCAAATTCCAGTTTGGAGAATAGAGCATAAGAGTTTACAGGGTAAGAAGGGACTTTCTAAGCTAGAGCAAGACCTTGTACAGGAAAGACCATATAGGCTTTGTCTATAGTCTGAAGACTTCTGTTCAGAGTGGTGCAACTCTGCATTAGGTTCATCACTTGAGAAATAGAGAACAGTGGTTGTGTCTACATCCCATGCCTAGAGCAGAATTTAAATGGGAGGATAATACTTTTCTTAAAAATACAGTTGAAGAACTTACAAATGATCAAATGAGGTTCTGGACTTCATATAATCTGAATGGGGTCTCCTTTGCGGTGACCACAGTCTAATTTCATCCACAGTAAAATCTGAAATAATTTTGTTACTTCAAACTCTGCTTTTTTTTTTTGAGAGGTAAAATATATTGCACATCTGTAAATTAACCATGAGGGATGAAGGGAATGTTTTCCTGTAGCTTACGTGGGAAGCTGAGATAATGATAAATGTAATCACTTCCCAACTCTGTTGAATAGTGGTCTTCAGTTTAACAGATCCAGAGTTTTCTAGCTACATTGTGCTTGCAGCCCCCATGAATGGAACAGCTCACAATACAAATTGGTAATTTCTTGGGTAACAACTCTGTGATGTTTCAGAGAACACGTTTGTGTCATGTTAATAAATTCCTCCCACACACGATGGCCATAACGTAAATCTTCAAGTGTAAGACAAGAGTTTGAATGTAAGGAACAAAAGGAACCCGCTTAAGCTTGAAGGGAATGTGGAGGCAGTATCCATCAAGACCTTGTAAGCATTATATTACTTGTTATTATCTTATTTTAACACTTTAAATTGATGTTAGAATCACCATTTCTTCTCCCTCTCTCTGTCATCAGTCAAGTTACAAGTGAACATGCTCACATCCTGTAATTAATATGTTGCCTCTATAGGGAAAATTTAAGAGATTACCAATGTTTGTGTAACAATTTGTAGTGCAAGAAAATGCCTACAAGTGAACTTAATCTGCCCCTCTGTCATCAGATACTTGGAATCACATCTCATAATTCTAATTTTCTCCCAAAATACAACTTATATTCCTCTGTATTTTTCCAGGATTTTTTTTGCAAGGGGTAATGGGGTGCCAAGGGTTCAAAACATAAGGCAGGATGGATTCAAGTACACCATAAAGGCATCTAATCTTGTAACATTATGTAAAACAGAAACATATTCATCTGTGTTTTGATACAGATAACATTTCCCATTAATTCCCGCAGAAAGTACTGTTTGCTTAAATATAGTCATATCAAATGCATATTCCTTCATTTTATATATGTCAGACTGAAGAATATTTAAAGCAGTTTTTATTGTTATCATTAAGATTAAAGGTATTTTCCTTTTAGCATGTGTTTCATGTACTTTGACATGATCTGGGAAAGTAACCAGAACAAAAGAACTAAATAGATTTATTTACACACAGCAATATGCTGCCAACAAGTGTTGAACACGAAGGCCAGAAGTCAAGTTCCAGTCTTCTGAGTCAAATCCACAATAGAAAACAATGTCATCACTTCACATTTTCTGGAAATGTTGCCTCTCTTTTTTGCTTCCCATTTGCACTCCGTCAAGCTTCTCCACACCATAATGAACTGTTAGCTACCTCAGATTATTCACTATTATTTGGCTAGATATTTTTGAAGCCTCATTAGCAAAGGTTATGTCATTTGTGAAGATTTAGTCCTGGCAAGGCTTGGTTCATTAGAAAGGACTGTTATATAGTAATTTTGAAAGTTATATTTGCTGTACTTCCACACTTGTTAAACTGTGTTTAGAGTAGGTATTTTCTTGATATGAGAAGAAAACATAACTACTAACAGACATTCACTCTGTGAGCAGTGAAACCAATCAAATCCAGCTGTCTGGAATTTGAGCACTTGTGGCATCTGAACACTTACTGTCACAAATACAAATATACAAAAGGCCCCCAAACCTCAGACATGACTACCTTCAACCCTTTGGTATAAACTGCGCAGTGGTGTGAAAGCTGACAACTTCAACAGCAGCTGAGAGAGTATAGAATCTCATAAAACTATTTTGGCTGGAAAGCCAAGCAGTTAGTATCTAATCTAGATTATTACACCATTGTAGTATGAATCAGGATTTAAGAACAGCAATAATATTTAGAAATCTGCATATTAAGTTAGTATTAAGTGCTTTCTAGCAAGTATGAAAACAATATGTTAAATGTTAGCAATGAGATAGAATATGTTCACATAAAATAGTTAAGAAAATATATTCAATATATTCTGTTTGTATCACTAGCTACAGACAGCTGTATAATGTGATACGCACAGGATAAAAATAAGGGAGAACTATGAAAATGCCTGCTATCTTTAACATGCTACACTTCTACAGCCCACTGCAGAGAAAGCTTAAAGCCTAAAGTTTACTTAGATTTATTTTGCAGAGATTCTAGGAGCTCCTAAGAGGACCTCCAGATGATGTCAAAATACCTTTAATTTATCTTGAAATGCATAAATGAACTGTGCTTTAATTGTTGCTGAATGTTTTCAACCATTGTTTCTTTCCTTGCTGGCATTACAGCCCCTTCACAGAACCTGAGCTTAGCATGCAACAGCAGTTAAACTTCTCTTGACCCATGGAAGGCACCAGAAGAACTGAATACACCAGACAATTTTTATTTCTTTCTAGTCAGCTTGTGAAAAAGGTCAGTATGCAAAGCATGGGTGGGTCAAAGCCCCTTCACACATACAGCAATGATATGTTGATGCACAGGGATAGAAGTTTGCACAGGAAGTTGCAATTCCAGTGTTACGTTATCAGAGAAAGGTCACACAGAGCAGAAGTCCCTGCCATTGGTTGGTCGATTCTAAGAAATTAGCTCATTAATAGATGGTGGAACCATATCTACTTTCTTCTTCCGCTTTCCTTTCAAGAGCAACATAGAATCATAGAACAGTTAGGGTTGGAAAGGACCTTAAGATCACCTAGTTCCAACCACCCTCCCATGGGCAGGGACACCTCAAACTAAACCATCTCACCCAAGGATTCGTCCAACCTGGCCTTGAACGCCACCAGGGATGGAGCATTCACAGCCTCCCTGGGCAACCCATTCCAGTGCCTCACCACCCTAACAGGAAAGCATATCTTCCTTAGATCCAATCTAAACTTCCCCTGTTTAAGTTTTAACCTCTTACCCCTTGTCCTGTCACTACAGTTTCTAATGAAGAGTCCCTCCCCAGCATCCCTATAGGCCCCCTTCAGATACTGGAAGGCTGCTATGAGGTTTCCACACAGCCTACCCTTCTCTGGCCTGAACAGCCCCAACTTTACGGGAGGTGCTCCAGTCCCTGTGGCCCTCCTCTAGGCTTGTTCCAAGAGTTTCGTGCCCTTTTTATGTTGAGGACACCAGAACCGCACACAATCCTCCAAGTGAGGTCTCACGAGAGCAGAGTGGAGGGGCAGGATCACCTCCTTCGACCTGCTGGTCATGCTCCCTGGTCATGCTGTCACCAAGCACCTTGTTGTTTTTCATGTGCCTTAGCATGCCTTCCAGGAGAATCTGCTCGAAGATTTTGCCAGGCACGGAGGTGAGACTGACTGGTCTGTAATTCCCTGGGTCATCCATTTCCCCCTTCTTGAAAATGGGGGCAATATTTCCCTTTTTCCAGTTGTCGGGAACTTCACCTGACTGCCATGATTTCTCAAATATGATGGCCAGTGGCTTAGCAACTTCATTCTCCATCTGCAACTTTGTTCACCAGCTACATTGTGTAGTAACATGTTATTATGTAGTAACAGAGGTAATCTGGGCATTGAGATCACTCTTAAGTGAGCATGGCCATTAACTCAAGCTGCATCGTGCTTTAACATAAATTCTATCCCAAATCACAGCAAAAGCTCTGTCAATCCCACTTACCCTCTTGTCTGAATAGATTCTGCTCTGTACATTTTGCCTTCAGAACTTTACAATTATTATTTTAGCCACAATTATTATTTATTATTTCTCCTCAGCATATGATCCAAGGAACATGAGTAAAGTTTGGTTAAAAGAAGGGTTATTTATATGATGTCTAATGTGCAATGTAACAGTGCGTAAAAATATATACTAAGGGGAATGTAACATTGCATAGTTATATACTATTATTAGCCTCTGTAGTAGCAAATGATTTCTAATGCACATGTATATAACTTTGACAAGGTATCTAGAATTAATATCCTAGTATGTGCAGAAATAAAAACATCAAAAGTGAAGTCACTCCAAACATGCTTTCTTAGCAACTGATAGATCTCCCTTTATTTCTCATTTTGCAGAACAGCAGAATATGCCTCTCTAATACATGTATTTATTAATATTTCCTCTTGAACTCCCATGCGCAGGAGGGAGTTTTCCAAAGGAAGGCCTTCCAAATATTGTTCCACGTCAACTTGTGATCCTGAAGCAAACTCGCTGACATGCCAGTATCTTTCAAGGGTCACATATCTATTCCCCGATATATGAGCACCTTGAACTCAATGTTATGTAGTCCAAATTGCAGGGATGACTATATCATGATGCAATTCTGTGATTTAGTAGGATTGCATAGAGATGTATTTGGTTTGTGGAACTCAGCAATATTTTCATCTCTATTTTGAAAGTGTACAGGGGAAAGAAAACTCTCCAGAAACTACCCAATAAGCTGCATTTCTTTTTTCCCCCACTGCTAGTATTCTAGCAGACATTAGTTTTGAAAACCAAAAACTCAGCATTCCATATACTATTGCTTCAAAGGCAGGCATTCTGCTCTTTTTCTTGTACTTTCATTTTTAATAACACTGCTGTCTTCTAAATACGTGGTATACTCTGAAACAAGTGTAGCAGGTATCCCTTCTCCTTCTGTTTCTACCCCCATATTAACTTACTAAGTTACATAGATAAGGACAGAGTATAATCACAGTACAGACGTTGGATTCTAACCTTTCATATATACAGCAATTAGAGATCACATCAATATGCAATAAAATAATCTCCTGAAGAATTCAGTAACACCCTTGCAGTCCCACCAAGGTCAGTGAACATGCAGGAAAACAGCATTTGACCTGTAATAAAAATGTCTCCACTAGGCACAGACAAACTTCCAAAAGCCACTCAGTTTTCTTCAAATATTTTTAACAGCTGCCAATTACTTGGTTTCTGCTTCCAGATTTAGTACTTGTATTAGTAAAACAGTTTTGAAAATGTTATCCCAATCTAATAAAATAAATAAATAAAAAGAATTTCTGAGCTGAAAATTTCCCTCTTCAAATGTAGCACTGATATTTATTACAACATTACCTGTTTTTGGGGGAATGGGTGGCAATTTTAGATACATGGCAATTATATATACCTTTTTGTAGGTGATACTTAGAGTCTTATTGAACATTTTATACTTCCAGTTTTCAGTAGAAACATTTCTGTAAGATCTGCTGGTTTTCCAGAAGGCTTGCAGGTACTGTCCAAAACCTTCCGTACTGCTAAGTGGTAGAAAAGGCAAAGAAAATTATTATATTGGAAAAGAGTTAAAAGGGGTGATTTATGGGAAGAAAGTAAGAACTATTAATCTTTAATTTCATACAGCAATACCTATAAGCATATAGATTCTTACAAAACTTTTTGCCTCTAACTTGAGTTGTAAACATAGTAAAAACTGCAGTCAGTGGGAAAGGACTAACATTATCCCAGTTTTACTTCTCACATCAGTAGTATCTGGTATCTGGTTTTGACCAGACATGAATAAAACCAGGAGCACAGGGATCAGAATGTCAGATTTTATTTCCTTTGTATTCACTTTCATTTTTTTTGAATTAGGTCACTGTTACAGCAGCAGCAGCTAAAAACATTGTTTAGATTAAAGTCAGGAAAAAAGTGTGTATGCGCATATTTGTATTTGTGAGAAACTTTAATTGGGTAATATGAAACAGCTGAGAGAAGAATTTCTGGGTGAGGTACACATTCCTATCATCAGTGGTTAAAATCTCATTGGTGCTTTCCTCTGCTGAGTTCAAAACATTGCCATTAAGACCCCAATGTTCCTCACCATGCACTTTATGCCACACACAGATAGGGGTTTTGCATGCTGTACTGGCCAGCTCAAACCCTCTGCACAAGCATTATGGTATTAGCCTGTTTGTTCATGAATTATTTGTTCAATTTCTACTAATGCTGCATGAGTACAGAGAATAAGGGAGAGGACAAGGAAATACTACCCATAGTGGGTACATCTGGAGTCAGACATTTGTAGAGAAACTATAAAAATAATTAACCTTTTTATATGAAAGATATACTTTCTATTCTTGTGGCAAAACCGGCATCGAATGTAGTGGCTTTGCTCAGTCATAGAAACACAGAACTTCAGTTCAGTCCCCTGCTCAAAACAAGTACAATAGATCTGGTGGAACAGAGCTTCAAGGACAAAGATCCCATGACTTCTCTAGTCATCTGTTGCAGTGTTTGATCATCCTCACAGTGAAAGCAATTTTCTTCATGGAATCATAGAATAGTGTGGGTTATAAGGACCTTAAAGATCATATAATTGTAATTTCCTGTGTTCCAGTTTGCATTCATGGTCTCTCATCTGTAGCTGCACACTCCCTGGGAAGAATCACCCTCTATCTTTTCTCTACATTTTCATTAAATAAATGCAGAGAGCAGTAAGATTTCCCCCTCATCTTCTCTTCTTGAGGTTCAAACAACTCAGTTCTCTCAGCCTGTCCTTGAGTATCATTTACTTCAAACCCGCTGTTTTCTTAGAGGCTTTTTGCTGAATTAACTGTAGTATGTTCAATGTCTTTCTGGTACTGGAGAGCCATTAAAAGGTTACTGCCACTCATGTACCAAACAGATGCATCTGAGTTAAATGACTGTGAAAGCTTTGAAATTCTTTCCAAACTAGCAGTAGAATGTTTTACAAGTGGATAATAAACCGTCATACTTTTGCATTTTATCCCCTCCATCTTTCACAAAGCTTTTACACACTACAAGATACATGACTTAATATATATATATAAATATAAAAGGCTTGCCAAACTTCTGTTTTCTAAACTTTTTCTGCTGGAATTAGGAACTGGAAACTAGGACACTTCCTGCGTAAGCTTTACCTTCACTCACAGTACAAAGAAATATTAACAAGGACGTTGGGACTTTGAATAGTGTCATAGCTTTGCTGTCCTAGATTTAAAAAGGAAATAGCAATGCAGTGTCTGCTACATTGAGACTGACTCCTTGGAGCCAGAGGGAATCTGATGAAAAGCAACATTTTTATTTTTTATTTTTTTTAACGACAGAACAGGTTTCTAAATTTAAACCCCCAAAATACAGATCTTGCAAAGATCTTAAAGTGACACCTTGTCCCATTTTTAGAAAGAATGATTTTTTTAAAGTGCTGGTCATATATAGAAAAACAACAGCACAGGGATTACATCACCTCAAAAATGCCATGAGAGGATAATAAAAGATTCTGTGCTTAAAAAAAAAACAACAAACAACAAAAAAACTAGTTGGTGTAAACATCAGCCTTCTTTTGGTTAATATTGATAAAAGACAAACAAAACAAACTTTCTTTTGCTCATAGCATATCTCATGCAAAGCATGGTTCCAGTGGGGCATGTGCAAATGGAGGGAGCAGAGGCAAGGCACTGGCCTCAAATGGGCTCGTGTGCTGGGGCAAGCACTGCTTCCTTCCAAGAAAACACTGCATAGCTCCCTGTGTAATACTGCACCTGCATCTGTCTAATACTAGCAGAATGCCTTACATTTTCTCCAGTTGGTTTCCTGAAGCACTCAGATCTCCATAGCTCCAACAGCCAGGTCACGTGCAATAAATAAATCAGGAGCCTGCTGAAATGTGCACTCAGCTAATAACATAGCTTTCAAACAGGTTTGGGTTTATTTTAAACCAAATGATACCTGGAGACAAAATGGGCATTGAACACCTTAAATCCCATATGAAATTGTTGACTAGATTACTCAGATACATTAGCCTGCATTATAGGCACAGTATCTCTGACCTCATTTAAAAGCTACTGCAACAACAGAGACACAAAGATGGCAGTGAAAAACATATTTAAAATTAGACACTGAGGTATTCAGACATCATGTGCTAAATACTGTTTTATTCACTGTCAGGGGAGAGTGCTGGAATCAGGAAGTTCCATAAAACCTGAAAATGACAGTGGCTTATATAGTGAGAAGGAAGTGAGAGCTAATCCAGCTAGGTCCTCTGTCTGTAGGCAACACAATTCTTTATGTTTGTTTTGTATGATTCTTCAAAGAGTTTAACCACCAATGGGTAAGATTTTCAGCCCCCTGCAAATAGCTGAGGCTTCTTGTTAGCAGTGATGAGTTAGAGACCTCCTGTAAACTGTACACATAAAACCTACAGGTCTCATGGAATCATCTGACCTTTGTTGAAAGTCATACCAGTGTAAACAAAAGTGTTGTCTTTCCATAACAAGTACTTGCATAACTGGGGCAAGCCCCTGAGCAGATGAATTTAAGTACTTTTGCAAAACACAGGGAAGACTACAGCTGGAAGTGATCTGACTCGTAAAGAATCTCTGTCCGTTTATTCTGCTTTCATTTATGTTTGAGAAAATAATCAGAAATGTTGTCACTTCCACTGTTACGTGTAGTGAGTGGTTCAAGATCATCAACCAGCTCTCCTGCTTTTCTTTCTCCCCAAAAGAGTAATTTTTTTCATTTACCGTGGTATTGCCAGTCATCCTATCACATTCAAAACTCACTTATAGCAGTTGGCGTTGTTTTCTGCAGCTCAAATTTTGTGATTCTTTACATTGTTATTTCCTACCCTTAACTTCTGGGAAATAAGATGTTAGTGGCATAGCCAGTATTTCAGACTTTTGTTATGGTTGCTGATCAATACAATTGGTGGAGCTCTTATATAATACCATCATGTGAAATTTATTGGGAAAAGGGCTTTCATCTGAAATGCTTTAAGATAACTTGGAAGAAAAAAAGCCCCACACTGCAATTTAATATGAGGAGGAAAAAAATGCAATCTATGCATAAAACTTGAAATTACTTTTATCTCTGAAATATTACCAGTGCCAATATTATTAACAGCTTTCTGAAGGACATTGTAAAACCTGAAACTCCATAACAACCCAACTAGAAAAACAACAAAAATGAGAGCAGGAAAAGTGTTGGTTTTTTGTTGTTGTTGGTTTTCGTTTTTTTGTTTTTTTTTTTTAGGAGAGCTATTAATAGAGAAGGAATGCACTGTTTGAACCTTCCTGTTCTTATTTTTCAACTAAATATCTGTGGGGTGCACAGATATCTGTCTTCTTGATGCTGTTCTGTTGAAATGGTTCTTTGGTCTTGCCAAGTTCACCACACCACTTTGGAACCTTAGTCCGTTATACCTCTGAATAAACTGAAAAAGGCTTAGAAATAAAAATACAGAAATTAATTCAAAAGAGTCAAAGGAGTAAATGTGCAGGGAAGAATCGTTCCTTTTCAATACAACATTTAGGAGATAAAATAAATACAGCACAATTTCAATCATTTAGACACCAAGAAAAAAGATCAACTATATTTGAAACAAGTGATTTATTATGGTTTACACAGTCCATGTGTACACCCACATCCTCCTACAGGGATGTGGATACCAATGTCACATGGACCTTCACCTACTACAATCTGGGAAGGAGGCCAAGAACAACCTTTTCATTGGCCTTTGATGGCTGTGCTTTCTATCAAGCCAAGGAAAATTGCAAAAGGATACTCAAAAAGTGAATGTATTTCTGTTTTTAAAAAAACTGACACTGATTATTTTTGTAAACAAAGTCTCAAAGAAAATCCCTGATAAGATCCATGACAAGCGATATTCACATAATTTATGCATACAAAATGTATCCAGTATCTATGTTCTGCACACCTTTATTGCTATACCATAAAATTTTTAAAGATACTATGAAAAACATAATATGGAGCCTTTGCATTAGTATTCAGTGTTCAATTTCTGAAGTTTTTTATATTTTCTCTCTCCTGCCGGTTAGTAAATATGCTGCATTTCCTCCTAATACTGGAACTTCTTTGGTGAAAGAGAGAGAGCACATCTTAGCAACTGTGTCAGAAATTGGCCTGATTCACCAGCTGGCTCTGAAGAATCCCTCTGGCATTCTAGCATGGTTAAGGTGTAGGGTGTCAGGATCACACTTATAGCATTTAGTATTTAGAATGATTATTATTTATATACTGCTTCAAATTATTGGAAAAATCTATTTAGATATAACAGAGAACATAAAGGCTATCTGTTCCCTTATGAATGGGTAGTCAGAGTAGAAGTGAAATACCTTAGATCAATTGACATTTCTGTTTTGGCAACTGATTCATGCCCCAAAAATGAAATCCCCCAAAATAGAGGAAGTAGGATAGAGCATGCAAGATTTGTGCCCAATCTGCCATGTCTAAGTCTACACAGCTGCATAATACTAACTGCATAGCTTATGAGAACATAACAGTGCTTAATTAAACCTTAGCTAACACTTTCCACAGTCAAAAACTTTACAAAATTAATCTTTATTATCTGTAAGTTATTGGCATATCATAATTTTACAAATTGAAATACAATTAGTTGATTTTCTTGACACAAATGACTACAGAGTTGTAAGACATCAGGATAGAAAATTGACTGCGGTGGTTTATACTCAAAGCCAGAGACGCTTAATACAGCCTGTAGTGCTTATGTTCCACTAGACCTCTCCCTATCTTCTTACTCCCCAAAAGGCTTTTAGTACATATGGCAACAGCTTCCCATGTTGTTTATAAATGGCAAAATGAACATGACTTGACCATGCAACTTAAATTCAGTCAAGAAGGCCCGTCATTTTGAAGTTACAGCTACATTTAAGGAATTAAATTTGTTCACTAACTAATCAACAGTATTGATGTTCTTCATGGTTCCTAATGCTCAAAGACAAAAACATAAATATTATGATCATCAAGGGATATTTTCTTCATGGATCCATGACAGTGTTGCTGTTTCATGTAGTATTCAGTACCTCGAAGGGAGAAGCTTGGTACTTCTCTGAGTCAGTCATAAGGGTACAAATTAATTTACTCTTGGAGGAAATAAACTGGAAGCTTGCAAAAGTATTGCAGAGCAGTTTATCATATTTCTGTTATGACATCAAATGGCAAACAATAAAAATCAATTCAGAGTGGAAATCTCCACTACCCAGGATTAGATATTTTTTTACTGCTGTATCTTTGCAAAGTGATTCCTGAATGTTTTTGCACACCCTTATTACAAATCCTATGGTTATTACAGTGCAGGAGCATTCTGCACATGAACCTGAATTTTATTTTCTGTTTCTTTCTTAAGATACTTGGTATTAAAGGGCATTTACTAAGTCTCAATTAGCTGTATTGGTAGTAAATTTTATCTCAGAAAAGTGGTGCAAGCAAAGTATTCAAACCTCCAGACACCTATTGCAGTGCATTGGAGAGAGGCCAGTTTTCACTCACAATGTTCTTTAACTAAATTGAATCCAGATGTTTACATGGAATAAAATATTAACAAATGTGTCCCAAGGGCAGCCAATTATTATTGAATGCTTTAATAACCTAAACCAAAAATTCTTTAAGGTGACAATTAGCCTTTAGCCAGAAAGATACTTTTGTTTATTTTACTTTATTTTTTTAATGATGAAGGGTGTCTTATCTTAATTTAATTCCAGCTTGTCATTAACAAAATACTTATCTGTGATAATTCTGAAAAAGCTGTACAACAAACCATTTGTGAAAGTAGTAATAAGTTAGTTCTAAACATATGGTTCCAATTTTGTTTTTCTTTTTTCTTTTTTTCCTATAAACCTAAGATACATGTATTTTTATTTTTGTAACACAAATCATATATCTTTGACAGAGAGATCTAGACATTAAAGTTGTATTTACATTTTAAAACTGCTTCAATAGCCCAACATCTTGTGCCTATAACAATATAGTACTATTCAACAGTGTTCCAGTTCTTGAAGATTAAATTCATAGAAAGGCTCTTATTTAACAGGAATTTCCTTGAAAGACATTTCTTCTTTACATGCCTTGGGAAAATTACTTGACACTGTCTAAAGAAACATATTGCTTATTTGCGTCTACAGTGCATACACATGCAAATCTAAATTCTAGATTTCATAGAAATCAATGTGAAGCTGACCTGAGGGAACTCAATAGTATGTCAAGAAACAAATATCCACTTTCAATATATTCTAGCATACAGGAAGGTAGTGCAAGTTTCTTATTTACATTTCAACTTCCTTGTTGAGTAATTTGGCCTAATTTACTTTTTGGGGGACTGTAGTGGAAAGACAAGGGGTAATGGGTTAAAATTTAAACAGGGAAAGTTTAGACTGGATATAAGGAAGATGTTCTTTACTGTGAGGTTGGTGAGGCACTGGAATGGGTTGCCCAAGGAAGTTGTGAATGCTCCATCCCTGGCTGTGAGTTCAAGGCCAGGTTGGACAGAGCCTTGGGCAAAATGGTCTAGTGTGAGGTGTCCCTGCCCATGGCAGGGGGATTGGAACTAGATGACCTTAAGGTCCTTTCCAACCCCAACTATTCTATGATTCTATGATTTGAAACTTGGAATATGCAAGAAATAAACTTATGGTCCATTTTAGTACTAAGGAGTATTTTGATCATTAAAAACGCATTCTACATTTTCTTAGGTTTCAAACATGTCCCAGAGACTTCAAAAGAAAGTATTTTTGTGACCAGGTGTCCTGGGTTCAGCAGTAGCAATCATTTTTCTCCTTCTTAGTAGCTTGTACAGTGCTGTGTCTTTTTGACTTTCAGCCTGGGAACAGCTCTGATAACACCGATGGGTTTAGTTGCTGCTTGATAATGTTTAGTCTGACCAAGGACTTTGTGAGTCTCATGCTCTGCCAGGGAGGAGACAGAGACAGGACACCTGACCCAAACTAACCAAAGAGGTATTCCATACCACAGCACGTCATGCCCACTGTATAAACTGGAGGCAGTTACTTGGAAGGTCTAGATCCATTCTCAGTCAAGCTGGGTATTGGTCAGTGGGTGGTGATTGGTTGTATTCTCTTCCCTTGTTATTTCCCTTATTATTATTATTGGTGGCAGCAGCAGTGATTTGTGTTATACCTTAGTTACTGGACTGTTATCTCAACCTGTGGGAGTTACATTCTTTCAATTCTCCTTACTGGGGGGGGGTGGGGGGGGTGGAGTGTGGGGAGAGGAAGGGGGGAAGTGAGAGAGACTGCGTGATTCTGAGTTATGGCTGGGCTTAATCCGCGACACCAGGAAAAGTTTACGTTGTGCCTGTTAAAATGCAATATATTGATAGAAAAGCTGAAATTCTATGTAAGACATAGACATTTCTAGAACATATTTATATATAAATACTCTGAGGAATATTAAGTTCAAAGAATGCTCAAGAGCAACAGATACACTGGAGAGTTTAACCATCCTATTTTATACTTCCCTGAAACAAGAGATGGAAATACCTGGGGCATGTTAAAAGCTTTCAGTGCATTTGACATGTGAATAGAAAATGGGACATGCAAAAATGCATCAGCTGAGACTCTTAAGTCACAGAGAAATACTTGTGGGACTTGCCCACTAGATATGCAAAGACCAAGCCAACACAAACACAGATGGTGAAGCCGTTTTTGGACCCTATCTGGTGTCAAAAGCAGGAGAAGGTATCAAATGAATTTTGCAGCCTAAAAGTACGTAAGGAATCTAGATTCCTCAATCTGCTTTACAACAACAGTTAAGCACACTAAGACAACAATACAAGAAGTGCACTTTCTGGCCTTGCTTTTAAGTTTGCTACTGAGGATTTCTTTCAGAACTGTACTGGTATAACAAGCTGCCAAGCCTCATGCCCCTAGATATGCATATGGCTACTACCTTCTCTTCTTTACTTGAAATTCGTATCAGTTACCGAAATGAGATACCGAGCATGTCAATTGAAAGTCCAGCATTCACTGATATATGGAAGAGATGTCACAGAGTGTATTCTTCCCTCTTCTACATACACTGGGCTGAAAATATTCCATCTTTATACCATTTGGAAAACAAGATTTAGGCCTACATTTAAGATAGACTCTTCTTACTTACTAGTTGACAGAAAGAAAAGCAGTAGCTTCCAGGAATGTACTCAGACATTACAGAGATAACTGTAGTACACAAACCTATAAAAACTGGGTTACAGTTCACTCCTTCCAGGCCTCTCTTCTGCCTTGAGGATCCTAGCCTGTTAGATTAAGGTGGTCATGAGCTCAGGATCCCAATGTATTTCCATGGGGTTAGCTAGTTCTCTTAGACCTGTTGCAAAACTGTAGTCAGAGACATATAACACCACTTCTTTTAAATTGCAGCTATTCTGCACTTCCTAATTATCAAATCTTGTTTCAGATAACATACCTTTTAAAAAAAGAAACAGGATCTTTCCTATAATATTTTCTTAATAGTTTCACATTACAATGCAATCAGAAGAAGGGAGCTTAGAGAATGAGGTGGCCATGCCAAGCCTCAGTGTTTAATCAATCTTCATTCATATTCAGTTTCAGAAAATTATTTATAGCATCTTTGAAATGTTTCACTTTGGAACTTAAATAATGGGCTAAGAATTGCAAAGAAGTAGCATACTAACTATACTTATGGTGTGCAAGTGCTATGGAATAAAAGTAACAGGAATGTAGCATAAACATACCTGCACTTTCACATATGAATAATTTTTACAGCTACTCAGAACTGACCTGAAAATACGAGAAGTAATAAGAAGGGAAAAGCAGCCAATTTCTGACTTTGCTAATAATGGCACTTATACCTATATGAAAGACAAAAAGTAGTTGAAATCAAAATATTTACTGATGAAGACATCTCTGCTTTTGCTGAGTCACATCATATAGCATTTATAACTTATGTTGATTCTGGATCTGTCTATATTTATTCAGGTGCTTTGGTAGGAAAAAGAGCATAATCTTTTTAGGCCAACATATCTTATCCTGACCATTAATTCATGGCACCTTTA